TTTAGACTACTTCTAAAAGGATCAATCATTTTGTCCAAACTAAAAGTCAACTCACGGGCAACAGTTGAACTTGATATTGTAAGGATACGGATAAAATATGAGCCATACGTCATAATAGATTAGATTTTAACGGTTGAGATTAAACAAGGGCTGGATGGTAATTTCAGAACAAGGGTACAAGGGTTTATGCTTCTTCTATTCGTACGAATCCTTCTTCTTCGATACGCATTCTTCATCAAACTCGTTCACTCGATCCTACATTGTCATCAATCTGTTTGCAACTTTAATTCTTCATCTTCAACTTCTTCAGCCCGCTACCTCATTCCTAATCGACGACACAGACGCGCTCGGGCTTCTTGATTTCATCATCACCGGTTGCTCCCAAGATTCGGTAAATATTGAAAGTTTAATCGTTCGTTAAATGTTTCTCTCATTCCATGTTACCAAAGTGAAATCGTTGTTCTTGTTGTTGTAATTTTGGAAAAGCCTTAGTCCCATTAATCGCAACTCTTTGAAAGAAATCAACAATGTCAAATGATCCTATCATTCAACTGCCTTGCGTTCCGAGGAAGGTCGCCCACCTCAATGAATCTTTACAGAAACCCTGTCGAGATTCGATTCGAAGGTATATTCAAACTAGTCTTTTCAAATGATTGTTCCATGTGAAACCAATGGCTATTCCCGTGGGTCCTATCATGAAATTATTGAGTTATTGGGACCCTGATAGCAAATGCTTTCATTTATCTAATGGGAATAAGTGATATATTACCGATCGGGATGTTGGTGTTGTCTATGGACTGCCATATGGCAAAAATAAGGAACCTATTTCACTGTACGAGTCTGATTCTTTTTACAATTTTGCTGATAGATTTAGTTTAGATATGAAACTCATAGGAACGGATAAAAAACATATAGTTGAGTCTTCGTTAAAGGAGGCAAGATGTTGATATCTGTATCAAATACAATCACATATCATACTGGTAATTAAAATGAGATATTGTTCTCTTCATATGGAAATACAATCACATATCAATATTGATGCTACATTTTATTTTTAGTAGTAGTTTGAAGGCTCTGATTGAATTGAGAATGCTAAAGATTATTTACAAAATTCCAAACCGCTAAACAGAATCTCGTAATTTCAATGAAATCGATCACAGAAGGTTACGATGTTCACGATTTCAAGTCAATTGTCGATGGGTAACTTACGCGATTGAGCGATTTCTCGTTCTGGCGCGTCTGGTATTGGCGAAGGCGCTGGGTCATCTGAAATTGCAAACTCTTCGATGTCTCCATTGCTTGCTGAGCGATTGAATGTGGTTGGAATAATGGAAAATTGATTCTGCTCACCTTCGTCGATATCAGCCATTAAAGAATGAAAGATGGAATTTCTCCCCACCGATTGCTGCGTGAAAAAGCAAAGGGGGGTGAGATTTGATGTAATTATATAAATTAGGGTTATTAAAATTACAATTGCACCCTTAATTTAATATTAGCCATTGGATTAAAGTTTTTAATCCAATGGCTAATATGCAATCAGTACAATGCTGATGTTTAATTTTCAGCATGTAATCTCACCCCATATTGTAAACTTATATTTGGTAATAAATTAAATGATTTGATATCTTGTTGCACTTCTTTTCCACTGCTCTAAAAAGATTGATTAGATTTTTTTTATCTATTTCGATAAATATTTTTCTACTTTATTTGATATTACTTGGAATTGCTCAACTTTATTTCCTTCATCCGCCACATTGAACAATTCATCACAAATGCCACCACCAAAGTTACTTAGTTCCATCTTGCTCATCAAAACCATCCATATTTTGTTTTGTTTTTTAATTTTTATTTGCAAGGTGTCATTTACTCTTTTGTACTCCAACCACAAACTTATCAAATTCTTTTTAACTTCATCAGTAATGTGTCCCAATTTTTTTTGATGTCAAATTTGATGATTTGAAACTTATTTCTCTTATCCAAAATATCCGCTATTAAACTCAATGGATTCATATTATTCTAATCACCTAAATACTTGATAAACTTCAACGTCATCAAATTAGCTACCTTCTGAAGAGCCAAATCTAAAATTTGTTGTTCTTTTTTTTCAATCTCAAGTTATAGTACAATAATTGCTTGATATACCAATTGAAATGTAAGGAGTATTTGATGCACTTAATTCTAAAGTGATGTTATAAATTTTTGAAAAAAAAAAAAAAGAGTAAATACTTTTGCATTCTCTCAATTTTCATTTAAGGTCATAACTTTTATTTACCTTTATCATCCTTTTAATGAAAATAATTCATAAAATGATACTAGTCATCACATCTTTTCAAATATTTTTCTATATATTAAACAACATCAAATATTTTGTAAGAAAAATTTTGTATTAGAAAACCTCACTATAATAGTAAATTTTCGAAATCTATTTAATATGGAGAGGGAATTAAGGAAAAAAATTGTATTTCTTATGACTTTGATAGAATCTTTTAGCTCTTTTAAGTATCTTTAACAATTAAGTTAAAGATAATGACATGCATACCTTAAATGCAAATATTTTTCTTCAAATAACAAAACATCTTCACTTTTCATTTCTTCTTTCAAGTAATCAATTGAAGTTTCATTTTGAATAAGAATTATCAATAACAATTTAAAACACTTTGGGTGTGTTTCTTTAGACGGGTTTGGGGGGATTTGAATTTGGGTTTGATTTTTATTTGAATTTTGGAATGGGTTTGAATTTTGTTGTTTCTTTTGTGTTTGTATTTGGTTGGAGTTTGGAGAGTTTTGATATGTATTGATTTGATGGATAATGAATAAAATAATTTAAATGCGTATTAAATTTAATTGATAAAATTAATATTGTATGATTTGATTATGAAGTTATATTATACTTAATATAAATATTTAATTTTTTTTATTCGTATTATAAAAAAAAAATTATTCTCTACAAAATAATATATATTGTATATATTTTTTTTTACCCTATAATTATTATAAATATTAAATAAATATAATATTTAAAATATATATATATATTAAAAAAAAAAAATGCAGCAAAAGCTGCATTTGCAGCCTTTGTCCTGCAAAGGGGAATCGGGCTGGTTTGGGAAAAAACACTATAACCAGCATTGGGGAAACAGACCCTTTATCTATTCCCCACTCTTGTAGACAAAAAATTCAACTGCATTGTCAATTTCTTCATTCACATAATTAGTGATTTTTGTAAAATTAATTATTATATTATGTAATTTCCAATCACTATCATTGTTATGACCATATAATTTATATTCTATATAGATGTCCATCTACAAAAAAAACACTTCAATTTTTTTCCCTTGACAATCTAAAAAGACATTTCATCAACAATAAAAAAAGCCTCTGTAATCTTCAATTCACACTTTTTTTTATTAAAATTATGTGAAATTAGGGAACTTCAGGTCTCGTAATCTCAGTTATTACTATAATTTGTTATTTTTTTATTCACTCCTATATATGGACTTGATTTGCATATCTTCTCTAAATGATTTTAAAGTATCATTTTTCTAAATGATTTTAAACTAATTTGTAAACCAAGCCTAAAACTTTACAAACATTTTGTTTTATACTAATAGGCAGATTCAATCTTTTTTCAAGTACATCAATAATTTTGGGCTATATTGACATTCTCATTCATATAAAATATATATAATAAAAAATTTGTCAGGAATCACACTAGGAAAAACTTAGGATGCGTTTGTTTAGAAATTTAGATATATACAAGTATTTGATATGATATTATGAATATAAAATTAATTTGTAATATAATATAAAAAAATAAAATAAATATTTAATTTGATCATTTAAAAAAAAAATTATTATTAAAATATATAAAAATTCTTCAAACAAACACACACAATGATATTTTGAAAAGAAGATTGAACAAAAGATAGAACACAACACATTTTCTCACCTAAACCATAAGTACATACAAGTATAAATGAAGTGCTACAACATCGCAATAAAACAAATGAAAGTGTAAAAGCTTTTCAAAACCAACTTTTTAAAATTTGGACACAAAAGTGTAGAGAAAAGAAGCCTAAGGTTACTATCCTAAATTTATCCCGTAAGGGATAGCCCGCTGGTGTAGGGTATTAAGTTCAGTCAGGATTTACCCGTGCGCACACTTTCGGATAGCGACTGCGAGTTCCCACATCATAAAAAAAAATAATTATAATAACACAAATAATGTTAACATAGTACAACATACAACCTGACAATTTCATCCAGCACATAACATTATTTCATCACATGAAATATATTCATAAAACATATCTATAAGCATAAACTATCAATGTATGACTTCAATTGTTTTTTTTTTATACTTGACTGGACAACTCAGCATGAATCAGCACTATGTTAATTTGTCTCGACCAACACAATAAAATCTCCTAAGCATAAGACCAAATCGCAGGAACAGACATTCCAACAGCACAACAAAAACAATATTATTGCCAAGCATAAACCTAGAAAGAATTAGGCATGCAAAAACTATACACAATCAGCACCATATTAATTTATTCCGGTCGACAGAGTAAACTCTCCCAAGCATAAGAAGCCCGGATCACAGAAACAAACATTCCAACAGCACAACAAAAAGCAATATCGTTGCTAAACATCTAAACCTAGAAAAAAATTAGGCATGCAAATATTATACACAATCAGCAACATGCTAATTTGTCCCGATCGACACAATAAACTCTCCTAAGCATAAGCAGCCCAAAAAATCACAGAAACAAGCATTCCAAAACAACAACAAAAAGCAATATTATTGCTAAACATCTAAACCTAGAAAAAATTAGGCATTCAAAAACTATTCCAATCAGCACCATGCTAATTTCTCCCAGTCGACACTGTAAACTCTCCTAAGCATAAGAAGCTCAAATCACATAGACAAGCATTCCAACAGCACAACAAAAAGCAATATTGTTTCTAAACATCTAAACCTAGAAAAAATTAGACATGCAAAAACTATACACAACTTAAGTACATATAATCAACCCAACCACCAAGCATCTTGTTATTTTATGATAACCCTTTTTTTTCGCCTATATTTTCTAACTTCTCTATCCGGTTAAAGTAACATAACAAACCCCCTTCTACATAACCACGAGCCGGGTTTCTACAACACAAATATACATCCAATCAGATCCTATACAAAATCATAAAAATTCTCTTAAAAGATCAACCTACCGAGATTTCCATAATAAAACATCCTCAAGGCGGGATAGAAAAAAAATGTGGTTTTTTGCCGAAATCTGGTTATCCCTGCCCAGTCAGTTAACCAAGAATAAGAGTATCCGGCTTCTCAGTAATTTCGGCTTCTTCTGCAATCCTGAGAGCCATCAGAGCTCTGTATGTGGCCAAGTCAGCATTTTCCATCAGCTTCTGGGCTCTTTGACGCTTTTGAATAGCCAAATCTTCAAATCTTTCGGCAGATGCTTTAGCTTCTTGCAGTTTGTGTACATTTTGTTGATCAGAAACATCTTGTTTAGCTGCAATTGCTGTAAAAAGAATGGCAACCAAATTGTTCACTTGATAAGCATTAAGAGAACAACGATTTGAAGAATGCTTCTCAGCCTACAAAGAGCTGAAGGGGCATTTTCTTGTGGTATTGAACTCAAACTAATACTTCATAAAAAATATCAAACAAGCATTCCGTTATGGTGTAGTTTACTCCTAACTAAAAGAGCCTGCAAAGATCGGAAGACTCTACAACGGGAATTCCAATGCACTAATTACTAATCAGCAAATAATACCCAAAACTTCATGATAAGAAGAAAAGTACCTTGCAACAGAGGCCGTTGTTTGACTCTCCCACCTTGACTTGTTTGTCGTTTGAAAGATCTTTTCTTCCTTAAAATGCACTTTGGGAGTACCTGAATCCTTTTAGGTTGGTAGAGCTGCCAATGATATGATAGGTTTTGAAACTTCAGTACATTATATTTATGCAGCGCATACAAAGTCAATTAGAAAATGAATTAAACCAAAAAAAAAAACAGATAAGATTGCTTGATATCTAGCATGCATAGTAAAACAAAGCAAAAGAAGAATTGATCAAATTGGAACAATCCGAGGCCACACCCATAACTATGCATGTTGAATGAGAAACACACACCAAGTTTCGCAAATACATGAATGAATTTAACCAGTCATAGATCACAGCAAAAGTATGAGATGCTTCAAAAACTCTCACTAAACAAACGATACATTAATTTAAAGAAATCCTGGGTAAACTAAAGTTCGAAGAAATAGAAAGGCTTTTCATATTAAATGCTCAAGAATCCAAGCAATAAGAACTAAAAGAAATGACAGCAACCCTATAGAAGAAAATGCAAATTATTAATTTTAAATAAGCCACTAAATAATATAGACTATGTTGAATTAGCTGGTATTAATTACCGAAAAGCATAGTGGTAAATGGCGGGCGTCGCAATGCCATAAAGATAAAAGGCCTACTAATAGAGGAAAAATCTACTTTATTGAAAAAAGTGAAACTACAGGCCGCATTACTTGGCAAAAGACTAGCGGCGCGTAAATGTGAAACAAAACAAGAGGACAGAGGACAGCCGCTACGAGCCAAAGAAACTTTACTACTCGAACAAAAATTTCCACCCAAAACATCAAATCAAATACCTATCTTTCATTTATTATAATACAATAAAATTTTATTTTATATTCAAAATATCACATCAACACATTGATATTATCAAACAATCATTTCAATCCAAAATTATACTCCCTCCGTCCCAAACACCCTGCAACATTTTTTTTTTGTATGTCCCAAACACCCTGCAACATTTCCAAAATAGGAAATAATTAATTATACTTAATCTCTACCCCACACTTTATCCCCTCACATCATCCAAATAAAAAAATAAAATATATATTTCTCTCTCCATCATATCACCTACTTTCTAAACTATCCTACTTAATACTACCCGCCTAAAAACTCGTGCCAAAAGTAAATGTTGCATCTTGTTTGGGACGGAGGGAGTACTATTTAAAACCCAAACCCAAAACCGAATACCCACAAACAAACAAACATTAGGGCTTGTTTGTTTGATGGTTGGGATTGTGGTTGAAATGGGCCGGTTGGTTAATGGTCTAATATATTTGATTAAATAAAAAATTAATGATGTTTTAAGTATTTTAAAAAATAATATCTCAATATGAATATTATTTCATAGAGAATAAAATTATACATAATAGACATTAATAAAAATATATATTTATATATAATTATTATAAATTAATTTAATCTAAAAAAATAAAAGTTTGAATATATATATAAATATATTTGTTTATTTAGGAAAAAGAAAAAAAAATGTAAGTGGGATCGTGAGAATTTTAAGAAATACTTGAAAGGAAAAAAGTTAGAAGCATAGTACTAAGACAAACACACCCTTTCGAAAGTTTGATAAAATAAAAACATAAATACGCCCTAATGAACTCTAATAGATAAAAATTACTAAAACTAAAACGAAGCTTTTAGCAAAAAGCGTGCACCACGTGGCAAATGGCACAAAGGCTGCAGCATTCGCACGTGCGACATGCCATGCCATTTACAGCTGTGAAAAGGTTACAATTAAATCAACATAATTCACAAGTCAAATATGATATTCAAACCAATTTTGACTGCTGCATTAAAACTGCTACCCATATTATCTAGAGGGCAAAAAAGTCGCAATTTTTGGCTACATTCACTTCAAAGAGGCGCCTAAGTTCGAAGGAGCTTAACCAGATACAGACAAATTATGCAGTAGGTACTTCTCACCCACACATAAGAGAATTCATAAGCAAGCCAATTTACATTTCCTAGAACATGTAATAACAGAAGGTTAGGTATTAATTCATTAATGACCAAAGTACCAAAGTAACGTCTCCAATAATATAAGATGCCAACTTAAGCGACCAGTGTTCTTGCAGTACAACGAAATTCGGTTAACCACATGAATGACACTCAACTTTGAATCAAGTTTCATAGCCAACTTACCAAATTTTCACAAAACAACACATTTATATATATATATATATATACACATTCATATCATAGTTGTCAATCTCGAATAGCTATATAACGTTGTCAACTTCTAAATGCTATGGAGGGATGACCGCTATTTAAAATTTTAAGAATATAACTACAAAAATTATTGTATATTAAAATTTTAAAATAAAAATGCATTAAAGATTCTATAAATTAATCTAATGGTTATCATTCAAACCAATAAAATGGAAAATATATATATAAATCATGGTTCATAGGTAGTTATCGAAGCGAAAACAATTAGATAACAATTAATTTGATATTCAAAATCTGATAAATAATTTTATTCCTCATTTCCATTATTCTCTTCCTTACTTTTATATGAATGTTGTTCCTCTTCTTTATATTTTTCTTTCTATTAACATGCATTTCGTTAATTGTATGTTCGTCGCATTGAACAATATTGTTTCCGTTTTTAGAGCCAAAAATAGCTATAGGGTGTGTTTATTCTGTAGGATGAAATTATAATCCCTAATATTATTTCAATACATTATATAATAATGAACTTAACTAATATGATGTATATTTTGTTTGATTAAATATATTATGTTATCAATATTACCTGGGATAAATTAATCCTACCTACCAAGGTAGGATTAATTATCTTTAATTAGTCTATTAGTGTGACAGACTTTAATCAATACAAGATTTTAATCAATTATAGTAAACATATAATTAAGTTGGATAAAATAATATTATCTACCTTAATCACCTAAAGTAAACAAACGGAATTTACCAAATAAAAAATATAATATTATAGTGTAAAATCTAAACCTACTTATAATAAAAATTATATACATTATTCAATTTAATAGTGCCGCTATTGCGTAAAAGTGGCATCGCAAAGGCGGTAGCAGAAGACTACCGCTCCATCCCGCTACACCACTATTAGCGCGCTATAGCGTGCTATTGACAACTATGAGTATACACATACATAAACAAACAAATCTGCAGCGTATCTGAAATGAAGGACATCCCATTTACCTGGAAAATCCTTACTAAAGCTGAGTGGTTCTGTTTCCGCTTCTTTATCCAATAATTATGAATAGCCTCAACAACTTCCTTTCTTTCTAGATGCCTACAAAAATCATAGACTGCTTGATCATCAAGAAGCTCATCTGGATTGCAGTGAGCAGCTTTCTCAATGCCATCAATAACCAACTCGAATTTATCTGGTGTTACAACTTCAAAGTCACTTCCTTCTGAAAATTGCTCGTTTAAGTTCGATAGCCACGCTTCATCATCTGAGTCCATGTCATAATTAGCCCTCTTGTTTCCCAATGTCCTGGTAAGCTCATCATCTTTCACAGTAATGTACACATTTGGCCGTGCATATGGCAAAGAATCAGGATCAACATCGTTGGATACTTCACGCACCTTAGGCACAGGAATCACGCTAACTGAAGAAGACTGCAGATTTCGTTCATAGCAATCCTTGTAAAGATCCTTGAAAAACAACCATTCTTGTTTGTTTGGAAACTCTAGTTTCCAAGCAGAGTCAGCAGCAGTCCATATTGTAGCATGCGTAATGCGGTTGGTCCCAGATGGCCGCATTGCCTTCTGCGCAATCAGATTGTATCGCTTTGTTCCATTTTTGGAAACAACAATGGACCATTGATTTGATGCAGATTGTTCCAAAGCGACGATAACTCCTTCTTCCCTGTAGCACTTGTCGTCCACAGAAACTAACAGATTAGCAGAACAGCAATTGGCAACTGCATCCTGTGTCAACAAACCCATGTTAGATTTCCCGCCTTTGATGTTTGCAGAGGAACTCTTGTATGAACCTCTGACAGCAGGTGCTGTTGCTTGGACGCCCTCCTGTCTGTTCTTAGAAACACCAGTTTGTACAGCTCCACTAGTTTTAAGAGCTCGAAAAGCCAATGGTGGTCTTCCTCTTTTACGCCTGAGGGAAGTCCTCCTTTTCTTGATTTTACGACTGTTCCTCATTTGTAGATTCCGAAGAGCATGTTTAGGTAATCCAGGACTTGAAGGAGCCACCTCCTTCCTAGTATTACCATCACTATCCGATTTTACAACATCACTGCAATATCTTTGATCACTCGTAATAGATAATTGAAAAGATTGTTCCTGGATACCGTCGGTTGCAATCTCACTATCCTTGAAAACAGTTGAAGTTTCAATATCCTTGAAAATAGCTGAAGAATGTGCCACAAACAAGCTACATTTTATTGCAAATCTGAAATGCAAACTTGTCTGCAAACGCATGAATAAAGATGGGACTGCTGAAAAACTCATAGACAACTGTGGTATCAATGAGTTGGATTGCGAAACCACGGAAAAACAAAGGCTCCTGGCAGCGATGGAATCCTGTAATAAAAGTTTATTCATTACATGGTCCTAATAGACTACTCGGGAAATAAATAAATGCATATTTATAATACTAGCAATTATATTCCCAAGGCTACAACTATAAACACAAATTTACATACTCATTTTGGAAGGGGGGGGGGGGGGGGGGGGGGGGGGGGCGGCAGGGTCAAAAAGTTTATGAGCCATATGCATACATAATTTAGAAGCTACTAAATCATAAAAGGAGAACAATTTTACCTTGACAAGAAGGATTCCACGCGAGGAATAAACATCGCATATGGGTTTTGATTGTAGAAATGCCCACAACTGTCGCATCCCAACTCGAACCTTAGCCATGTAGCTCACAATGGAGATCAGCAAGCAAGCAATCACATAGCCACAATCATAATCAGATCTATTAACAGCAAGAGCAAATCCTCCAAAATTTCCAAGATTTTTGGATGCCTTGTTTACTCTCTTTTTCTGCCATTGTCTCCTAGCATACTTCTTCCCGAAACGGAGATCTTCTTTCGAGGAGACGTTCGCCGATTCCACCTTACTTCTCTTTCTCTTTCTCGTATACACAACTTTGCATGTTCGACTGACCTCCTCCATTTCCACTTCACTCTCTGCTCTTACCTCCTCGGCCATGTTCGCTGGATCAATTTGGTTTTCCTGCCACATGCTTTTGCAGCGGTCTCCAGCATCTCCTCCTCCATCTACGGTGTCGTGAAGGAGCTCATTCCATTTATCTTCCCCATGAGTCGCTCTAATGTGTTTGTTGCCATCATACTGCGCCGTTGAAAGCCTCCTCCCCGATCTCAGTACTCGCGCCCCAAACACTCTGGTACTCCGTCTCATTCCGACTGAAGGCATCGACTTGAGCTTACTCCCACGGGGCAGTGCCTCAGAATTTTTCTTCTTCTTCACTTTTGTAATTAAGCCTCCTGTTCAGACCAAACCTTGGCCCAATGCAAAGCACAATGAGAATTGGTATAAACACCGACTGCTTTTGTTACTTACTGAAACAAAACCAAGATATATAACTTAAAAAAGATCTTCTAACAGTTACAAACCTCTAACTCACCCCAAATTGATGCCAATACACAAAATAGGTGGGCAAGAACTGCTTGCAAAGGTGGAACCAAGAAGGCACTTCTGCTCAGTAAGGACTAAAAAGATGCTTAATTCTACTCCCAAAATCGACTATGTTCGAAATCATACTCTAGTTCGAACTCGGCTCCCACGACATTTGTTCTCCACCAAAATCAACCAAGAATTCGGTCTCCCAAGCACCAGAGTCCTTCCCTCTCACCATTCCAAAACCAAAAAATTGCATTAACCCGGTGGACTCGGACCCACCACACACCCAGATTTTTATTTTATTTTTCCAACTGGTTTTGACCCACACAAAGACGAAATTCAAAAAGAAAACGAAGAAATAAGCAAAGAACCAAAAACCATCAGATAAATCCCACCGCCATCTCACACAACCCCATGTTCTTCAACTCTTAATCGCAAAACCCCATCATTGAACACGAAAACGGCGGAAAACGATTCACTTACTCGAGATACACGATTTAAGACAAAGAAGCCACGAATCCTTCAAATCAACGCAACCCCTTCGATTTCCGAAATCTAGTGTCCTTCGCGTACCGAATATTCCCCGTTGGCTTTAACGGCTCTCGCGGCCAGAGGATGGCTGCTGCTGCTGCGGATTCTAGGGTTTATGAGAGGGGGCGAAAGAAGAGGGAGACTATAACCGCTACTCTACTGACCCAGAGTTACGAGGGCCGTTCGATGAAAACGATGGAGCGCTGCGATTTCAGGGATTTGATGACTTTGGGAACAGTTCGTGTGTGTGCGTTTTCTGAATAGTGGCGACAGAGAGGGAAAAAGGGTTTCTTTTATACACCTAAATTACACTTTGCCCCCTGTATTATTTGAAGAATGTAATTTGGTCCCTTCTTTCATCCATCGCGCCGTTCCTCAGGCGGTTACTAATTTTTTTATATTATATTTATAACATTAAAATATTACGTTTGACTCCGGTTTTTCGTCTTTTAAATATTGAGAAGAGTACGCTTGTTTAGAATATTATACAATGTACTATTTTCTAATTTAAATCAAATAGTTGTATTTATTACAAGTATTTAAAAATTAAATTATTTATTGAATATGTATTTATATTATATTCTTGTATTTAAATTTAAAATTATATTATTTTTAAATATTAATCTCCATTTCGAAACCCAAACAAATAAATGGTACGTTGTGTGTAAGTTAAACTTGTGTTTTAGTAACAAATAATATTTGTTATAAATTAATTATCATTTGATATATATATATATATATATTTCACTAAAAAGAAATTTAAAATATATTTTTAATATTTTAAAAATCATATTTCTTCATATTATATCAATATTTATAAAGTTATTTTATATTCAAAATATCATATCAATCAACTACTCAAATTCAATCCGACCCAAATAAATAAATAGGGTACAAAATAAATAAATAAATAATAAAATAATTTTTTAAAATTATTATACCTAATATGTGTATATTTATATAATAAAAATATATTATTTATTTATTTATCTTATTTTATGGATCAATATTTGATTGTTTTTAGAATTTTTTTTTGTGTTTTTAATGCTATTTGTTTTAGTATTCGATTGTTAAAATTATATTTATTATTATATATTTTTTAAAAAAAATGGGTTTGCCGGGGGCGAGTCCTGAGGCCGAGTGGAAGCGGGGCGGGGCAGATCGAGCCTAATATTTTCTAGCGTGACGGGTCTCAGGGTCTGTAGAACCGGTCCTGAACCCGCCCCGTTGCCATCCCGAGGTTGATCCAACCTAAAAATATTCAATTTTATTTTTGAAGCTCATACATAATTTTTTCTTACTCTATTGAAATTTTGGACCTTATCTATTTTTGTCCATTCTAATTATACGATAAATTATATCCATACAACTATAATTACCTACCATTATATATTAAAATAGAATATGAGTATCATGGTAATTTATAAAAAAAATATAAAATAAAAAAATAGAATATATTATTGTTTGTGTTGGGTTCATAGCTACTAAATTAAACAATAAATATATTAATTTTAGATAATTTAAAATATATATATAGATAGATGCATTGATAATGATATATATTTATATATAATTAATATTTGAGAAAAAAATTATTTTTGGTCTCAATATAACTAAAATTCATCAATTTTTGTCTAAATATAAAAATTTTATCAATTTTGGTCTCAATATAACTAAAATTCATCATTTTTTGTTCCAATATAACCAAAACTATCATTTTTTTGTTTTAATATAATCAAACCTTATCTTTTTAAGTCTTACCGTCAACAAACAGACGAAAAATGCTGACGTGGACTTGCAAGATTGTGCAATTTCTTCAAATATAAATATAAGATTTGATTTCTTTTCACGTCAACATTTTCCGTCGGTTTGTTGATGGTGGGACTAAAAAAGATAAGGTTTGATATATTTAGACCAAAAATGATAGTTTTGGTTATATTGAAACTAAAATTGATAAAAAAAAAAAATTATATTGTGACAAAAAATGATGAATTTTTGTTATATTTAGACAAAAATAATGAGTTTTGGTTATATTTAAATCAAAATTGATAAAATTTTTATATTTGAACCAAAATTGATGAATTTCAATTATATTGGGACAAAAAATGATTTTTTTCCCCCTTAATATTTTATCCATGGTTAAATTATGTAAACTTAGTTGAATAAGGATATGAAAAATAAAATAAAATTTAATATTTAAGTAAAGTAAATAATAATATAAAAAAAAAAAAATTGTAGATATTATAAATGTAGAAAGCTAGGTGGTTTGAAACTGGACTGTACTGGATTGGCTCTATTTTTTAATTATAAATTAATTTAATAATTTTTTTACTTAAATGATGTAAGTGGAAATTAAACTCACGACTAAATTCATATAAAACAAGAATTTTGCTCAAATTATACTTTAATTTTTATCTTTATTTCTTCAATTATTATATATATATATATTATAATTTAAATAATCCAAACCGGACAAAGGTACGGCCCAATTAATTTGCATACCGTACTATTTTTTAAGGCTCAAGTACAATTTTTTTTTGTTGGATTTAAGGTCAGATTTCACGTCATACTTTTTATTATAAAAAAATACTTTGTACCATTTGTATTGATTTTTTATCAAAACCAACTTTTGAAATTACTATTTTATTTTTTATATTAATATTAATATTAATACTAATAATAATAAATATAATATTTTGTTAAATAATTAATTTATATATTATAGTTTTAAAAAATTAAAAAATATAATTGTACTATTACTTTTAATTTATATGTTATAGTTACTAAAATTATAATTTATATACTAAATTTTAATTTTTTTTTAAATTATACTAAAAATTATTACATATCATTTATAAACTTTTAAAATAAATTGTAACATACAAATAATTTAATATTGAATATATTATCCTTATATTAAAATTTTAAAATATAAATAATCAAATTTTTAAAATATACTTTTTATACTTTAATTTAAAATCTTTAAATATAATTAATAAAATTTAAAAATATATTATAAAAGTTTTATTTTAAAAAAATATACAATTATACTAACAGTATATCCTTTCGAGTAAATTTAACAGTTTAAAAGCACTTTCAATTCTATTACATAAAAATAAAAATAATAAAAATAATAAAAAATTGTTTAAAATCAATATTCACACTTAATCTAAAAGAGCAATAAAACAAAGATTAATGAATGGGTGCTTTGAATGATATTCACACTTATTATAAAATTATCAATATTCACTTTTTTATTTATTTTAAAAACAGTTAAGTTCTATAAGTTTCAATTTGTTTACATACATATTTTTTAAAATATTGTTATTATCTATTGATAGTATTTTATTTTATAAAAATCATATTAAATATTCATTTCACTAATAAAATATCAATTAAAATATTTTTTTTAAACTTCAAAATATATAATAAAATGGAGCCATAATATATAATTTTAAATTATCTATATAAATAAAAACTAATTTTTTTCAAAATCAAATAAGCCGAATTCGGTTCAGTTCGGTTTAAAATCGAACAAACTGAACTTTTATTTATTAATGTATAACTTACCTATAGAGTCAAATACAAATACTCAAAATTACAATATATATTATTTATTAATATGTTATTTTTATTATTTTTGAAAAGTTCAATTTTTTCAACTAATCGAAATTAAAAATTAAAAATAATAACCGAATCGAAACCAAAAATTCCAAACCAAAGACTGACCGATATTAACTACTACTCCCTCCGTCCCATAAATGTAGTCTTAATTAGATTAGACACGATATTTAAGGAATATTGATATTATATTGGTAGTGGATAAAAAGTATTGATAAAAGACTTTTCTACCCTTGTGAGTGTATTAATGTAAAAAGTAGTAGCAATTGTGTAATAAAATTGAAAAAGTATGAGTAGTTTTACGATGATATGATTATTTATAGAAATAAGACTATTATTTTATGACGGACAGAAATGATAAACAAGACTATTGTATTAGAACGGAGGAAGTGCTTTTTATTTTTTTTGGTTCAGAGAATGTTCACCCCTACATATTGGATTGGATTCATGCTTAAGTAAAAATACGACCGGCTAAATATTACATAAATCAATTCAAGAAACCTATAAACACAAAATTAAAATAAAAAATACTCCCTAAATCATATGTATTGCTTTTTTTTCTTTTTTTTGAAGTATTATTTTCTTAAAAAGTCGAATAAATATATCATCCAAATATATGAATTGCTTTTTTTTTTTTTTTATGGAAAGAATGTAATAAGTGCTACTACTAGATCTTGGGCCAAATAGTTATTTAAAATACTGTGAGGACCACAAAGAAAAAAGTATGGATCAATTACAAAATGGGCCTATAAAGTATGGCTCACAAAATAATTCTATTTATGCCATAGAAAAATTGCTATGTTCATATATATATATATATAGGTTTTTTAAAAAAGGTTTATAATAAAAAATGAACTGTGAAAATAAAATTTGTACCTGTCGAGGGAGTATAAAGTATATATTTTTAAATTATCAATATAATTTTTTATACCTAATATAATATTAGAGTCGACAATGGGTCGATTCGTGTCGGGTTGAATACTTTAAACGGGTTAAATTACTCAATCCTAACCAAACTCGTCTATTATCGTGTCGGGTTCGTGTTCATCTGTTTATTATCGTGTCGGGTTCGAGTTGACTCGTGTTGAGCCGTATACATAATTAAGTCTAATTTCTTAATTCAAATTAAATAATTTTTTATTTTATTGTCGTATTATATTAGTTTTTATTGGTTTGAGCGTAAATTAGGTTGAATTATTTAAAATTGAACTTAGTTTAAATTAATTTATGAAAAAATTATTAAATTATGATTATTTAATATATATATAATAAATATATTAATTAATATTAATATATTATAACCGGGTTGTCGTGTCGGGTTCGAGTTGAAAGCCTCAATCCTAGCCCGACCTGTTTATTATCGTGTCGGGTTCATATCAACCCGTATACATAATCGGGTTGAAATCTTTGACTCAAATCCAATTATTTTGTATCGGATCAGTTTTTGCTAACTCTATATAATATATATATATATATAAACACAAAGTGAACCAACTATAACAACAATATATACCTATGTTTCTTTAGCCGAGTTTCCCCAAATTTTACTATTTGGACTCTGCGTTTTTTGAAAAAATATATTTTTTTTTCTCTCACAAACCATCCCATTAAACTTTATTTTTTTACCACACCCAAACTAATTTTTTTCCAAACTT